CTGAGCTTCACCCAAAGCAGCATCTGTGTCCCCGTGCAACCCAGCGAGCAGATAAATGTCCCTCCCGCGCCCCGCCAGCCCAGAGGGGACCCCAGCAGCCCTGACATGGGCACCCTGTTGCTTTCTATAAAGCAAGCTCTGCACTTACAGATTGTGTTTGCTTAACCCCAGCCCTGCTCCCTCAGTCCCGTCTCTTTGTTTTTCCATTCCTGGCAGTCATTAACGAATGAGATTTGTCCAACTATCAACGAGACTTCCCATTATAAATAGGCAAAAATGCAGAGGCCAGGGAGCCAAGCAGTTCGACAATTACTCTCGGTCCGTGCCTTCGCCCCTCGGCCAACACGGGCGCCGGCGTGATCCGGCAGCACAGGCAGCAGCAAAGTGGCTTTACAGACCCGGTTTTCCTGCAAAGCCCCTTGTGCAGGAGGGGATGGGGGACGCGGTGGGTGTCCCAGTCACCTGGCGTCACCCACTTCGCCAGTGTGAAGTGGTGCCCTTGGGGCAGGGATCCCTCGTGTCACCTTATTTCTTGAGGTGTGGTAGCTGGCACTAACGAGGCAGGATCTGGCCAGGGCCTCTAGCAGGGACGGTCTTCCTAATGCTATCGTCATCGTTATCTGAGCATGAGTAATACCAGATAGTGCTTAGGGCAAAAGCAGGCGTCAGCTCCGGCACAGAGCATCCCATTCCGGTCCGGGGCAGGCTCTGTGCGTCAGGGTCAATGGGCTGTAGCCAAAATCCAGCGGATGCCAATGCGAGGCATGCCAGACCCTGAAACCCTGAACCCTTTTGCGCTCTGCTTCTCCGTCTGCCGATTACCATGCACGTATCTCAGACTTCAGTGCTACGCCGGCACAGAGGAAGCCTTCATCTCTCAATTTCCCAAGCTTTTGCAGGTGGAAAGCTGACCCTCGCAGTTACTTTAATGCAGTCTTTCGCTGGGTAACGAAACACACTCGAGCTGCTTTGCTCCCAGATCAAACCGGGGACGCACGCTACGGCTCAGCTACGGCGAGAGCTAATTCTTGCCGCGTGCGAGGCA